CGCACCAATTACGTGAAAGTGGGAAATGGAGAAAACAAATAGCAAATAATCTCTTTATCGATTCAAATCACAATTGATTACTGGCGTCACGAGGGATAATAGACTGCGATAGATGGGAGACATACAGAGATAATTTCAGAAAACAGAAAAGCCACAGGACAGACGAAAAGACGGTAATATCCATGCAGATCTACAAACACGTGGGGTCATATACTGGACAGGAAAGACTAGTCACAAGAAGAATGGAGCCAGGTGATTTCTGCAGCACAGAATCTCAAAAACTGGGAAGAGTAAACAAGGAAAAGAAAAGAAATTTTAAATCCCTATATGGTCACTCTTTCTGTATATTTGTATATTGTTATGAATAGCATCTACTATCTATTTCTTTTTTTTAATGAATGCTAATTAATATGTGTATCTATTTCTCAATATCAACGATCCCCAAACACCTTCCATTTCGTATATTGCATATTTCAAAGCCGCTATTGCAAAACATCTTCCCTCTATTTAACCACACGCTTTTAGGAGAAATTGCCGCTTGATTCATAGGCTGAAAGTTCTGTGACGAGTGGGCGAGCCATATCTAGTAGAGGCTTATCTAATGGGTGGAGGCGGTGGGACTTTGAAACCTGGAAGTGTAAGACGAAAGGTTGGAATCAAGGGTGAATGGGTACTTGATGGGGGAATGACACGTGCGTAAATATACCAGGTCGAAGACTCATCGATTCCGGAAACGTTTCAGGTCTAGGGGCGCAGCCACTTCCCGCACATGACAGATTGGCCAGGGAATGGAACTTTCAAAGACTTCTTTCACTCCCTTTTTGTTTTTTATTATATAGAAATGGCTAGCGGGCAAATTTCTCACGCATCCGTCGAGTTTAAGAGGCATTAAGTGGGTGCACACGTTCTTCATTTTCTTCTTTTTTCAACAGCGGATGCGGACACTGGTTTTATTTTATGTTTTAGGACAATATGGAGAGTTAGCGCGGGGAAAAAAATGCTGTAGCAAATCTATAGCAAAAACACAAAATTTAAGAACAACATCAACATCGAAAGCTGCAGCAGTAACTAGAAGCAAAGAAATGCTAGGAATGACAGGATTAATAGAAATGTGCAGTAACTGAATATCAGTAACACGATCTCGATAAAAGTGTAATAACACAACGGTGAAAGGAACGAATAAAGCTACAGTAATAAAAGGCACAAACAGTAATCACAGAAAAAGACAGTAGTAAAACTTGAGGAATACGAACAATATAAAAATGCAGTTACAACACGTTGGTGACAGGAAGAATAGACATGGAAGTACTAAAAAAGCAACGAAACAATATAAAAAGTGCTTAAAAAAAATAATAGTAACATGTACACTAATAAAAAAAGCAGTAACAATATTAAAGAGATATGTACAGTACTAAAGTCGTCATAAACATTAGGAAAAAGGGGAACAAATTAAAGCAACAACGCCCGCAGAAAATAAGAGAACAAACGTTCAAGTATCGAGAATAGTGGGAGCAACACTGGACAAAGTTAAAAAGATGTACATGAAAGACGAAATTGACCAACAATGAAGTCGAATATAAAATGAATATTTTCTTTATTAAGGCGTGGGTAGGTTCTTGTTCTTGTTCTTTTCAGATTATTTGAATTGTGCGTGTGTATGTGTGTGTGTGTATGTGTGTGTGTGTGTGTGTGTGTGTGTATGCGTGTTTATCTGGGATCTAAGAACGGACTGAGTGCCCTTAAAATGTAATGGGAAACTTGGTTTCGAGATACGAACTTTTCGAAACATGAACTTTTTCTAGATGAGAACTTTTTGAGATACTAACTACAGTCAGTAACAAGTTAAGTTTATTAGACAAGGTACTACAGTAGTATTATTAGAAGCAATAGCAAATGGTAGCAGTAGATGTAGTAGTAGTAGTAGTAGTAGTAGTAGTAGTAGTAGTAGTAGTAGTAGTAGTAGTAGTAGTAGTAGTAGTAGTAGTAGTAGTTGTAGTATTAGAAGTAGTAACAGCAGTAGTACAGGAATTAGCGGCAACGGTAGTAATAGTAGCAGCAGCAATAGAGGTGGTGGTGGTTGCGGCGGCAGCAGCAGTAGCAAAGACGTATCAGTTATTTAAGTTTTTTTGCGATGGTTGCTAGCACTAAATGTAGTAATTAGTGCCAGCAGAGATTGTGGTGCCAGCAGTTTAATAAACAATGGTTCTTTTCAATATTGATAGCAATAAAGGCAAGAGGAGCAGGCAGTTTGTGTAGTAGTAGCAGCAGAAGCAGTAACAGCAACAGTAACAGTAGCAGCAGCAACAGTAACAGTAGCAGCAGTAGTAGTAGTAGTGGAAAATCAATGCTCACTGTAGTTCCTATCATTCCTTAGAAAATCCCTGCACGTTTATGTTATAAGCGTCCACGACAGGTGGTATATACATAAACACCTAGTGAAACATGCTGTTAAAAAAAAAGAAGCCAATTGCGTGTTTTTAATTAGTTGACAGAAAAGATCGTACCCTAAAAAAACCGATGACCTAGATGCAAAACAACATTCAACTAATTGGTTAAACCCTAAGGGGGTTCTTGTGTGCAATTTGAACAATTCCACTCATGAAATTACAAAAAGTTGAATCAAAATTATTACAAAACCATGCTCCTTAAGGTAGCTATGAGTCTTTTTCAAAAATAGTGTACACGAATACACACACACAACATACATACACACACACAAAAACACACACAACATACATACACAAACACACACATATACATACACACACACACAAACACACACAACACACATACACACAAACACACAACATACATACAAACACACACAACATACAAACACACACACAAACACACACAACATACATACACACACAAAAACACACAACATACATACATACACACACACAAACACACACAACATACATACATACACACAAACACACACAACATACATACATACACACAAACACACACAATATACATACACACACACAAACACACACAACATACACACACACACAAACACACACAACATACATACACACACACAAACACACACAACATACATACATACACAGACACACACAACATACAATCACACAGACAAACACACACAACATACATACACACACAAACAAACACAACATACATACACACACAAACACACACAACATACCTACACAAACACACACAACATACATACACACACACACAAACACACACACACACATACACACACATACAACATACATACACACACAAACACACACAAACACACACAACATACATACATACACACACAAACACACACAACATACATACATACACACACACAAACACACACAACATACATACATACACACAAACACACACAACATACATACACACACACAAACACACACAACATACACACACACACACACACAAACACACACAACATACATACACACACAAACACACACAACATACATACATACACAGACACACACAACATACATACACACACACAAATGCACACAACATACATACACACAAACAAACACAACATACATAAACACACACACAAACACACACAACATACATACACACACAAACACACACAACACACATACACACACACAAACACACACAACATACATACTCACACAAACACACACAACATACATACACACACACAAACACACACAACATACATACATACACACACACAAACACACACAACATACATACACACACATTAGACAACACGGTGAAGCATGATTACTGACATCTAACGACAGTCAAAAAGAAAAAAGAGTGAAAATGACATGGGCAGGGATCAGAAGGTTTCTTTTGTTACTAAGAGAATACTGATTCTTTTCTCCGCAGTTTTGTAATCCATTGTTACTAAGAGAATACTGATTCTTTTCTCCGCAGTTTTGTAATCCATTGTTACTAAGAGAATACTGATTCTTTTCTCCGCAGTTTAGTAATCCATTGTTACTAAGAGAATACTGATTCTTTTCTCCGCAGTTTTGTAATCCATTGTTACTAAGAGAATACTGATTGTCTCATTCGCAGTATTGTTATCTATTGTTTCTAAGAGAATACTGATTGTATCATTCGCAGTATTGTTATCTACTGTTACTAAGAGAAAACAGATTGTCTCATTCGCAGTTTGGTTATCTATTGTCACTAAGAAAATACTGATTGTCTCATTCGCAATTTTATCTACTGTCACTAAGAGAATACTGATTGTCTTCTCCGCAGTTTTGTTATCTATTGTTACTAAGAGAATACTGATTGTCTAATTTGCAGCATTGTTATCTGTTGTTACTTAGAGAATATTGATTGTCTCATTCGCAGTTTTGTTATCTGTTGTTGCTAAGAGAATAATGATTGTCTTATTCGCAGTTTTGTAATCTGTTGTTGCTAAGAGAATACTGATTGTCTTATTCGCAGTTTTTTTATCTGTTGTTACTAAGAGAATACTGATTGTCTCAACCGCAGTTTTGCTACATTTTATTACTAAACAGACATACTGTATCCTTTATACAATGAAGCCTTCATTGGTATGCATGAACGGGGAAAAAAAAAACTTTCTAACAGTTAAACTGCATGTGAAAATAATGTATACTTTAAGCATGCAATATTTAAACCTTTAAAGTGAAAATAATAGAGCAATTTTTGTGTGGATATATTGAAAATTATTAAAAGCATATGACTGTTAAAAAATATGCCCACCTGAACGGAACATATATTAGAGAACAGAGCAAATCAAAACAGAGTGGCAAAACTAACAACATACTGTCACAAACAAATAGTGATACTAAAATCAACAAACAGACGATCAAAATCGCGTGCATAAGATAGCGTTTGCATTTTGCTGACATTTAATATAAAGCATTTGATAAGTGCCACAGTGTGGTCCTTTGGGACCTGGTTAGGACATGGTTAGTTCTGATGCATTTATATATAAAAATAAGGTTTAATAGAAAACAAACAAAAAGCAGCTACTATACCGGGTACTTCCGTCTCCAGATCCGTGGAAGCTAGGACAGAAAAAAATCAGGTTAGACATCCTGGCATGTTGATGTTACCACTCACTAGACTTATTTAATTGATCGTTTGTTTGTTTAAAAACAGTGTCGGAAAGAAAATTTTACATCAAAATTATAAGAGAAATTAAACAGCAACTAATTTGGTATTAACGGTTAAAAAAGAAAGAAATGAATTTAAAACACACACATATAATATATATATATTTATATATATATAATGAAACATGAAAATTGTAGTAGCTATTTTCAGAAAAGTAACTGTTTTTACGAAACTATGTCTGCAAAATATGAGGAATTAACAACGCCATAATATAATATAAATATCTGATGGCATAAATAACATGCAATCTATTTATAACAGAGTGAACAAAATAAAACATTAAAATGACACAGTAAAAAATGGGGTTACACGTTGAAGGATACATGGGTCAATCAAACACATAAACAATGGTGTGGAAAGCAAGGGAAAACTACCACATTATCTATTTCAAGTACCTTGATATCACAACCTTATTTTAAACAACAATCTAGAATCGTGATGGTTTTGATGCATCTAAACAGTGTCACCATCTCACTAAATATCACACATTGTACATAATAGCTGTTGCTAACAATCTGTCTGCGATCATATAGACAGACCAGTAGAACATTTAGGTTAGTTGCGTATCCTTTACAGGACGTTGCAGAACCAACCTCAATAGCCCCTGTCTGCTGTGTGGTTTTTGTAGGCAAATTTACGTCCAGTAGTTTGCCATTGCCTCCTGGACGGTCGGAAGGTGAATAGACGTTTTGAAAGATAATCAACGGTGAGGGGGAAACATGGGCGGACTTTTCTTCAGGTTGCAACCAGTACTGCTCGCATGTCGACACTTCGTTGACTAATGAAGGAGGGGAAGGGTCACATAAAGGAACGTCTCGAGCGCAGTGACGTCAATTCATAGTTTCATTGATTCCCCGTTTCCTTTAACGGATCAACCAGAGTTTTAAAACAAAAGACCCTTTTCCACCCCCTTTAGGTGTATTGGGCATATAGAGCTAGACGTCTAATTTATAGACGAATGGCAGTTGGTGTGTGATGTGATCAGAATCATACTGGCTGCCTTTATTTCACTAGACTCCACCTTGTAGCATTTCAAAGCTGGGTCGACCCGTCAGCCAGGTCATTTATTGAAATAAGTCCGGTACCGTGAGGGCCTGAATGCACGACCTCCTAATCTGCAGGTGGGCGTCTAGGCGCACCCCGACGAACTCTGTAGATCCAGAGACGATCTCCAGAAATGTCAGATATAAATCTACTGAAGAACTGAATGAGGCGGTCCTTGGGACAAACCCGTGATCTTCAGAATGAGAGAACCGGCCTAATGAGTCTTTAGGCCAGTGAGCCTAAACTGTGTTATATGCACTCTACTTCCGTGTTTCTGAGAAAATAATGCACCCTCCCCCCACCCCACCCGCCCTCTTGTCAGTAAAGGGCTGTTACTTAATCTCATATCTATATCTTGTCTATACGAAACAGACAATCTTCATGCTTGCATCTCCTAAATAGTTTTATGTTTACTTAAACAATTAGGTATGTGTTATTTGTATAGTGTAATTTACAGGGGAAAAAAATAATAATAATGCAGTGCAAATGTTAACTTTTAAATCATTACATCAACGCACTTAGAAGAAATATTACTTTTTTTTTGGAGTAAACTCCTCTTACTTTTCTGATCGTCGAAATTTGCAATTTTCCAAGTTAACACTGCTAATAGTTTGCACAAATATCATTATAGTTGAGTATTCAATTAACATATTAAAGAAAAATATACATATATAGCTGATTACAGTATACTTTGGATTACAACACTGATGAATCAAAATGGCGTCTACAATTACTACACATCAAAGTATAAACGTAAAATACGTTGACTATGCTTGGTCTGCTAACGGATATATATTTTGTGGAAATCAATACTTACTGACGAATCGCGGTCTTCCTTTTTCAAATGCTCAGCTATGAATGTCACAGATTCAATGGCTTCCATAATTTCTTTGGAGTATGGTCGCCTTCTGATAATGGAACCATGATTCTCCTCCTGGTAGTCCAAGCTAAGTATTCCCTCCATATTGTATGGTCTTCTTAGCTGTGGAGACTGCTTGCCATCATAACTGTGACCAAAGGAAGCAGATATATCGTCTCGGGCGTTACGCAATTCCAAACCATTACATGTTCGGACTACAATCTTCTTTGGCTGGACCTGCTCCTCTGGTTCATCCTGTGGTCGTCTCATGATGAGGAGACGTGGGAGAATGTTGAGGAAGACTCGCCGAACCCAGGGAGACATGCTGTGTGTTGCCGGCGATCTGAAGTGGACATTGAGGACGATCACAGTGACAATGATGGAAAGCGTTACCAGGATCATCGTGAATAAAAGGTATTTGCCGATGAGGGGTACAACAATGGATGTGGGGGGAATGATCTCTGCCAGCAGCAGGAAGAATACTGTCAATGAAAGGATTGAGATGCACAAGGTGATCTTCTCACCGGAGTCCGAAGGTAGATAGAAGACTAGCACGGTCAAGCACGAAATGGCCACACACGGAATGATCAAGTTCACGGTGTGGAAGAGGGTCTTTCTTCTCATGGTAACACTGAAGATGATGTCTGGGTATCGTTCCGAGCAGCACGGGTACTCGCGAACGTTCTTCACTGCATCCACTTCCAAGATATCCCACTCGACACTCGGATAGAAGTCTCTGAGGTCAATACCGTTCTTGATTGTGACGTTCGCCTCGTTGGATTTTGCGCAAATATGCACGAGATCAACTTGGTCTCCGTCGTATGTCCAAGAGCCGAACTTCATCTTGCATCTGAGTAAAGAGATATGAAATAACGTTAAAATAACGGTAAGGAGAGAATCATATGGGAATGTTACACCGTCTTATCGATTGGTAGTGATACTGGAGGAAATGAAACTTTCATCACCAGACAAACATTTCCTATACGTGAAAAAGGACACTCACTTTATTCTTTTACTAGGTCCCAAGTGTTGGTTACATAGTGCTATTAAAAACAGGAGGTGGGGTTGGGGGGGGGGGTTGGGGCGGGGGTTGGAGCAAAACAACTGAAGAGGCACGTCGTAACAGCTGACTAATTAGGTGTGTTGGTCCGAAAAAAGGCAGAGCTTTAGTGGTCTATCGTCAGACCAGAACAGAACGAGCTAACAATCATTTTAAGGGCAACCAAGAAAAGGAAGAAGAAGATTAGATAAGTCTTTTATATACGCCGAAAAATATACCAGATCTTATGTCGTAGCCATGTGGCATTATACTAACTGTTATAAAAGGCGTATTCGTCGCTGGCCAGAAGAGAGTTTGTATATTAAAGCAAACAACATATAGTTTCTCTCTTACTCCTGCTGCTGGAGCAAAAAAGGTTTATATTAACAACCAACAACATTGTTTTCTAACACTTGTCGGGGAGTGTTAGTGCAAGACAAGGAACAAAAGATGTTTCCTACAATGTCAAAGGTAATTTTACACAAGAACAAACAGCAGTGTGTTGTTGCTGTTCTTGTTTTGTTTGCAAGGTATTTGGTGTATAAGAACAATAAGCAGCAAGATTCACTTACCAGGTATTTAGCACAATGTGATGCAAGCGCGCGCGCGCGCACAGACACACACATACGCACCCCACCACACACCACACCACACACATAAACCCCGAGAAACAATTTTTTCTTCTGGATCTATGAGTGCAAATCAGTACACTGCACCATACTACTTGTTTAGTACACCTCGCAATTATCTTCTGAGTATGCGCTTAATTGAAAGGGCGGTTGATACACTGTGATGTGGTTTACAAGTAGGTTACACATAGGTTACACATAGGTTACACATAGGTTACACATAGGTACACATAGGTACACATAGGTACACATAGGTACACATAGGTACACATAGGTACACATAGGTACACATAGGTTACACATAGGTACACATAGGTACACATAGGTTACACATAGGTTACACATAGGTACACATAGGTACACATAGGTTACACATAGGTTACACATAGGTACACATAGGTACACATAGGTTACACATAGGTTACACATAGGTACACATAGGTTACACATAGGTTACACATAGGTACACATAGGTTACACATAGGTTACACATAGAACTCAAGTTCTAGACGAACAACAAGCACTTTTCGCCGAAAGTTACGGCTGGTAAACGAAAGAACGAACGAACTTTATTTTTAAAGGGTCACACATTGGGCACGCAGGCCCGTCTTACATTCGGCCCTTCCAAACATACAGCAGTTGTATTTTATCAAAAAAGCATGGTATGTTCATATAATAATATGCATATTATGAATATCAAGAAAAAAAACACAGAAGCATTGATGGTAAAATGCATGCACACACTCGCGCGCGCACATACACTCAGACGCACACGCCCACTCATTCACACACACATGCATACACACCCACATACATACACACAGGCATGAATACACACATACATACATATTAGATATACACACACATTCCAATACACACACAAATGCATACATACATACATACACACAGGGACACACAAACACACACACACAGACATTTACAGACACACACGCACCGACACACAGAAGCACACACATGCAGACAGACTCAGACAAACGTAGACCCACACAGACAAACACACAGAAACACACACAGACAAACAAAGACACACACAGACAAACACACAGAGATAAACACACACAAAGACAAAGACAGACAAACACACAGAAAAACACACACAGACAAACACACAGAAACACACACAGACAGCCACACAGAAACACACACAGACAAACACACAAACACACACAGACAGCCACACAGAAACACACACAGACACACAGACAAACACACACAGACAAACACACAGAAACACACACAGACAGCCACACATGCACAGAAGAGGAAGAAATGCACAAATCATGACCAGCCACTCTTATAGGCGCGATACCTGATGATTTTGATGACGATGATGATGACGATGATGATGACGATGATGATGACGATGATGATAATGATGATGATGATCTCTGAAAGGAATCCGTTTGTTTACGCTTGTTAACTTTTCCTGTGGCTAATGAAGGTTCCCAAACAACAGCACGTTCACAGTTTTCACTTCTCCAAGTTCTCCAGATGAGTTTTTATCAAGGAGATGAAACAAAAGTGTTATCTCTGTATTCCCTACACACAGCTGGGTGTGTGAATTAGCTTTCCCCACTGCTGTGCTAATCAGGCAAATGTTGATTATAACCCTTTGTGTGTGGGGACGCGGGTGGGCAGGCAGTTATAATGCGAGCTTTCTAAACTGAAAGGCACGTGTTCAGAACTATTTACCACAAATGTCTTTTATCTCTGGTTGGTAAATAGCCGTACATAGCGTGCAGACTGCGTGGCGTCTGCAGGAGAGTGCAGCCTTTACATCTGGGTGTCTAGGGGTGTCCTTTCTTGGTTCAGAACTGACGAGGTAATTACGATTGTACTTGTAGTCCGGATTATCACGCAGTCAGTTCTCGGTGGGTGGGAGGTAATTAAAGATAACAGTTAATGTGGGGTGAATGGTAGAGTTATCAGTCAGAGACAAAGATAGATGGATCAAATAAAAGAATAATTCGATAAATAATAATCATTATAATTTACCTAAAATATTAGTGAAAACGTGCGACGGGCGGACCTAGAAGACCCATGTAGTTTGGTCGGTTTCTAACATGGCAACCGCACTTAACTGCTTGACCGAATATATCTTATGTCCCCCGTGTGGGTTCCAGGGCTCTACTATGGAAAAAAACAAGAATAGACCCACTGCCTACCCAAAAGCATGTCGTAAGAGTCGACTAATTGGGAGCTTCCTTCGAAGTCGAAGTGCATCTGCCTGAGAGGCAAGGAACCAACAGTATGCATACAGATCTGTCAAACGGATGCACACGCAACACTCAGGTTCTGGAACAGGACTGCAGTCCAGAAGTGAACAAACAACCATAACTTTCCACATGAGTTTACAGACAGTGAACGCGAAAAAGAAGAAAATATCTTATGTGTGATAACTGTCGTGATAACGCGGTCAGACGCTTAACTGCTCATCTAAAGGTCCATGGATTCAAATTGTCATGCTACCAAACTTTTTTTTTAAAGATGGCCTTGCCTGCCAGGTCGACCCAGTTTTAAATGAGTACCAGGTAGCTGTGGGAAGTAAAGGCGGCCGGCGTGATTTTGACTTCTTCTATAGAGCTGGTCTAGAAAATCTGAGTATAGCCTAATTTGAACAATGCGTCAGTTGCGTATCCTTTACAGGACGTTGCAGAACCAACTCCAACAGCCCCTGGCTGTTGTGTGGTTTTTCTAGGCAAATTTAGGTCCAGTAGTTTGCTATTGCCTCTGGACGGTCGGCTTTCTTGATACCACGGTCGAAACCAACGCAAGGCGCATGGCTCGCAGCTGGGATCGAACCCGGCATCCCGGCATTACGAAGCGTTCGCATCGACTTAGCCACAGAGACGACCAGTGGCGTATACTTAACTTGTTTTAATGCGAATGATTTTAATATCCACAGTGTCTTTGGTAGTTCACTAACCATGATCTAAGGCTAGCAATGATTATCTAGAGGCAGTCGGGGACCTTAGAAGGTTTTAATATTAATTAACTGTGCAATAATAATACTAATAATAATACATTAGAACCTCGCTTAACGAGCACCTCTCATAACGAGTAATTTGCATAACGAGCAACACAAATTGTAAAAAAAAATGACTCGCTTAACGAGCGACGTTTCGCATAACGAGTGGCGAGGAGAGGGGAAGTCCCGAATTGTGCGCATGTTACATCAGTCTGTGTTTAGCACTCGTTCCAGTAGCATCCAAGTTTCGCCTGTGATCACACATTTTCTCAAACGTGTGTTATATTGTGAAATATGTACATGAATCCTCCAGGCCTACAAGATGACCTATCTGAAGAATGTAAGTTCATCACGATCCAGTTTCTGCCTCCCAAAACCACTCCGTTACTCCAGCCCATGGACCAGCAAGTTATTTCTAACTTTAAGAAGCTCTACACTAAAGCACTTT